AAATGGCCTGTATTTATATAGCGCTTTACTAGTCCCTAAGGACCCCAAAGCGCTTTACATATCCAGTCATCCACCCATTCACACACACATTCGTACGTGAGTTTAAGATGTTTAGTTTATACCCTCATTTTTTACCAAAATGTTTAAATACTTTAATCAATTGAGGAAAGGTCGTGTCAGCATCCTGTAAGTATATTATTATATCATCACCAAAGAGACCTATTCATTGTTCAACTTTAGAAACTGTAACCCCTTTTAAATGATGGTTTTGATTCTAGATCTGCCAGCTTGTTTCGGATCAATTTCTGTGCTTTTAGGCTTTGGAAGAGCGCTTCGGTTAGCTCCAGTGTCATGTCTTCTATGTCTTCTCAGACCTTCATTATCTTGTTTGATTTCTGATTTCAATGATTCGATACCCTTTAGTAGCTCACCAGCTGAATTGCTAGCTATGCTAACGGGGCTCATGCTAGCTTGTCCTGTCACGATGCTAGCATTAGGAAGTGGCTTTATCCTGTCCCTTTGGCATTTTGAGTTCCCTTTGCCTTATTCCGCCACCAGCTTTGTCTTGCCCAGTTGAATTGTCTGTTAACGAGTTTCGGTGTTTTTCTATCAAGATTGTGGGGAGCAGCCACCGAATAGGTCCACTGACTTAATATGACTTTGGTAAGCTACGAAGCCACACCACTTAGATTGTCGTAGGATTGCGGCTACCGTAGTCAAGAGCCTCACGGAGTTATCTGGGTCCAAAACTCCTTTCACTTTAGATCCCAAAGTCAAACAATAGTACGGGATCACTGAGAGTTAAAAACGGTGTAAATCAGGGGTTGACAACCCTGGGCACGCGTGCCATCAGGGTTAACTGATGGCACAACCATAGCTGGACAACTTTAATCGCATGGCTGGATGCTGTAAACGGACCAAACTTCGGTCAGGAGAAAAACTGAGAATTCATCCACAATACGAGGTTAGTCATTATTATACTGCAACGACATGGGAATAGAGCAGCTGCGAGAGAATTCAACATTAATGAATCAATGTTATGGAAGTGGAGGAAGCAAGAGGAATGAGTTGAGTAAAGTTTGACTTATCTGTCCGTTTTGTTTCACTTAATGTACCTTATAATCCCGTGCACCTTATGTATGAAAACAGACCCATTCATCGGCAGTGCGCCTTATGGTCCGAAAAATACGGTATACGTCTTGCTTAGGCCCAAAAAAAGTCCTGAAAGATCAGGTCCTATAGCTATTAGTACCAGACTATTCTGTAGAAAGCATTATGTAGTCCAGGCTTATTTGTGCTTCCTAGATATGCCTAAAACAGAATAGAGATTCTGCTCTGTGGAATCACCTCGCAATTTAAATTCAGCAAAGGCCTGGGTGATATCAGGAAAATCTAATATTGTAATATTTTTGCATTTTTTATTGCGATTCAAGATATATATCATGAAGTGTTTAAATAACTTCCAAAAACATGTTATTTTCAACCGTATAGTGAATAAAATTGCACTGGTATACTCATTCAAATCGACCATTCAATATTTTTTTCTACTTTGAATACAATAAATCTGAATGAATTGACATGTTTTATTTCAATCATTTTTTAATCCTCAGTTGTACATAGAAGTTTTTTCCAAATGACAATACTGTGACAGTAACTCTTTCTGTGGTCAACATTAGAGCTTCAACAAACTGAAGATCATAACAACAAGAAAGTACATCAAGCAAGAATTCGCAAGACAAAATAAAACGAGTGAAATTAGAAAGGCTCTTTTTTGTGCTTATAACATATAAAAACAGTAAAATTAAAAATGCAATGACCTCATATTACAGAAACAAAAGTCTAGATAGTGACTAAAAGCGACTGACCAAGAGCAGTCACAGGTATCACAGCTGGTTTATTCAATATTTTCTTTGGTGTGTAGGGAGATGTTGACATGCAAAGTTTAAAACATTCTTCATTTTGCAGTTGAAGGATAAATGGACTAGACTGATTCCTATATAGCGCGTTTCAACTCTCCCAGAGTACTAGAAGCGCTCTATACAACATGCCACATTCACCCAATCACACCCATTGGCACAAGCACTTCTAAACAGAGTGCTTACGAACTACATTCACATTCCGATGGATGCATCGGAGAGCAACTTGGGGTTAGTATCTTGCCCAAGGATACTTGACACGCAGACTGGACGAGCCAGGAATCGAACCACTAACCTTCCGATCAGTAGGCGACCTACCTACCTCCTGAACTACAGCCACCCCCAGTGGATGACTTTTCAGCTGGTGGAATAAATTTATGGCAATGCTACCCTTTGTGGCAATAGGTTAATGGCATGTTTTACGGCAAATTACTGCATTTTGTTTGGCATCCTCCTTGTTAAATCACAAAACAAAACAGTGAATTACATGCACATAGCTTAATATTGCCATGGGAATTTATAGTTTATGGTTGCAAAAGAACCATTTTAACCAAACCAAAACTCGCAATACATAAAGTATATCTAATACATCGCCTACCCCTAGTTCTGCATGCACTTTCCTTTTTAATAAAGCATTCAGTAGAGCATTAGATCTTGAACAGTTTTCTTGGTTATGCTCCTGGTTCATAATCTGTGCTATGTCCTGTTTAATTTTTGTTATCAGGACAGTCTTCTGTCTTTCCTTCTCTAATCTGGCCTAAGAAAACAGCTTTCGCTCCCTGAGCCTGGTCAGGCCAGAGGTTTTTACACGTTAAAGGGGAGTTTTTATTCTGCTCCATACTGCAAGTGCTTGCTCATTGGGGATCGCTGAGTTTTAATTTACAATTCTTTAGTTTACTTACCATTAGGGCTGCCACGATTAGTCGACTAGTCAAGATTAGGTCGACTATTAAAATCGTCGACGCGTCGTTTGAAGCTTTGTAAGATCCCAAAAGACGCAGGAATAAGTAG